TACCGTATTCTTGTTTGGGTGCAGTCACACCATGCCCATCTCGTGTGTCACACACACCAGTTACCAAGGTACGTGTAACCCCGTTACACCTTTGGTGTTCGACAACTTGGATACTACGATATCCAGCACATTGACTGTCCCGGTCAATGGTGTCCAAATTCTCCCTTTGTACGAACCAGTGACGTGTGATAGTTCCATAAAACAAGTCAACTTCATGACTCACTCACCGATATGAAGAAAACTCACGGTGGGTCCTCTGCCCACAGGCTCGTGATAATTCCTTGATAAAAGATACACAGAATGTCAGTACCTAATGTTAAAAATAGAGGTACAACTCTTTGCAATCAGTAACTAGCTCATTCATGACGGATAATGATATCAGCCCCTCATCTTGTATATCAACCGTATCATATTGTTGACTCACCGCCTCATTTTATCTTAGCATACAACAAACAAAAGGTCTTATGCCAGAGATAGTAAAAGTAAATTATGACTTTCCCTGATTTCCATTCACGAGTGAATAATCTACCTCGCCAGAAGCTGTGGAGCTTCACTGCTTTGTACGATAGGCGTGCCAAACGGTAGGACTGACTCAGCAGTAGCATTACAGGGCACGGAATTTTCTTATTTTGAGACTGTTGAATCTGATCCTTGGCACGAGAGACCGCGCCACCTAGTTTCTTTATCTCTCCATCGACAAAGGCACAGGAGACACCAGCGTGCAGCCGTAGCTAATCGGTCCACCGGAGACGCCCAAAAGCATCATAACAAACAGTCCTTCTTTACTAGACCAGGCGTATAAAGTGTACCACAACGGGCAGCTTCTGATGGATACACTCCCGACATAACTAATTGCATGAGAAGTTGCAAATTGTGCGCTTGCATACGGCCAAGCTCGACTACATGAGCTTGATCCAGCTCACTGGTGACAAACTGGGTGCCATCGTATCACTTTTCGATCTAGGAAAATGATACGAATGTGCGATTCATGCAGAGGAGTGCGGGGGTGTTTCGTACATCCACATTCCTGGCAGCTTAGAGAGTTAGGGCGTAAAAGAATTGCATCTGCGCTCCCATCGAGAGTACATCAACTGCATCATCAAGAATGTTGGGCTGTTCGTTTGTCCGTAGTCGTACGCTAGGTAGAGTGAAACCATGCTTATAGGAGCAGACGTGAAAAAAAGTGCAAGTGGAGAAGAAGAGCCCCAGGCGCAGTTTCTTACTGGTTAAGCGCTCACTTTTGCGTAATGTCAAGAGCGAAAGTGAGCGAGAGCCATAGTGTGATCCATATCTAAGTGAGAGAGGCTGGACGAAGTCCGAACCGTAATTACGGTGTATGTACACATACATGACTGTGCAAAATTCTGAAGTCCAACGTAATGGAGCTGGTCAAACGATAAGACTTCGTCGAGGACGGAACGCGAGCTGCTTGCCCCAAGTAATGCAGTATATATATATTCAGTGAAAAGGTTTAGATGAATATGCCTTGTATTGGCTTGCATCCGACTTACATACCACTTGATGGAAAACGAGCAGAACTCAGTACAAGAGCACACGAGAAGCTGTCAGTTTTGCTTCTATATTAGTCTTACGATCTCATGATCCGTACGCTGTGGACTCGGTATCAAGCCTTTTTGTAAAGAAGCGCTATTCGCAACTATCCTTCAAACACAACACACACGCATGTGCGACGAGGAAGCGATTTCCGACGCGGAGTAGAATGACAGTCCCGACTTGGAGGAAAGAAGAGCGACTCGAGACCTTAAAGGAAAATTTGCAACAGAATTCAAATGAGTTAATGGTTTCTAGCTACATGCAAAACTTCCCAACGGCTCTTAGAGGACCTTTATACTTATAAATTTTGGGTTTCTGATTTATACAAGTAAGGGTGCATTGAGGTTGTACCACAAGATCTTGGGTGTGCGGAGCACTTCGAAAAGCTTGATTTTCAATTTTCATTGAAAGCAGAAGTGACTGGCTTACGCTTTCACGGTTTGTATTCATACTGAAAATCAAAATCAAGTCAGCTTTTACCCTTTTGTTCTACATGAGATTTCTGTTCTCATTGAGCTCACCTTAGGACACCTGTGTTATCATATAAAAGATGCGCCGCCCCAGCCACCCCCCCCTTCCTAATTTGCCTTCTCCCACGCAAGCGTGCAAGAACAGGCCACCTCCGCACGACTACGTACAAGCCCAGTTTGTTCGTCGTCCTCCGCCCCCGTCTTTATCTCGGCCGCCCCGAACTTGTTCGTCGCGCCTACTACTCAAGACTCTTCGACGCCACTCCTCACGACATCTTTAACTTCGCGATTACAGCTGTCGTCGACTTGTGCCTCGCACCCCGTGTCGCCATCCCGCCTACTCTAAGTAGCCTACCGCGCCTTTCTACAGACTTCACATTCTTTTTCTGATTTTTGTGCAAATCGCATGTGATCGTCCCAGCCTGGTATTGGCTCTTTCCAGCTCGCACCAATGATGGTCGGGCGGTGAATGATCAGCTGATAATGGGGTGCGAATTCTTGGACCAGTAAACGCTCCGTCATCGACTTGGTATGTGTATATGTGTTAAGATATGTCCCCATTAGGTTCACTCGTAATGAGGTGCCAGAAGATAATAAACTTGCTCACATTTGATGGCACTTGCATGTATCAATGGCTTATGGTAATAGTAATCGAGGAGATACAACAATTAGTGGGAAATTGTATCCTTTGGACTTCGAGGTACAAGATGCTCTCAAAGCTTTGATAACTGCATCTCCAAGCGAAATGGAACGTATCTAAACGTTAACGTGATTTTACCGTCGTTGTTTGCTTTTTAAAATTCTTCTGTAATCAACTTTTGCAAAACGGTTCTGTGCACTACGATTATGCTCAATAGAACGAACACAAAGGTAAATTTTCACCATATTTGGAAGGCTTTAGCCTCTTGAGAAAGCGGAATGTGGAGCCACCACACCA